AACTGAAAATATATCATATAATCAGAATCAAACGATTTAGATACATCAAGTAGATAAAACCATATACATCTTGTTGAAGCAAGAATATTTACTCCATCAAAATATATGCTCTCCATTTTTTTCAAAAAATGACAATGGGTCATCCAGAATCTAATCAGCACCGGCTACATCGTTAGAATCAGTCTTCTCATCTAAAGCGGCATCTTCATCCCAGTGATGACGAATCCATCGAAGTCCACATTGAAGATACCCAACAGCACCTCGAAGCATAGTAAACTCAGTTGTGTGAACTGTAGCCCATAGCTGTGTAAGCTTTGCCATCATCTGAGCTTATTGCTCGATCAGCACGGTCATCTGCCCCATAAGAGCAACAGATGGGTCAATGGGAACAGACGCAGAAGGTGGAATAGACTCGGAAGGGGAGGAGCAGACATGGGTGTTGAGGGAATATCAGAGGGCAAAGGAGTAGAGAAAGTAGGAGGGAAATTGGATGGATCAACAAAGATAAGATCATCAAAAGGATTAGCTGGCACAGTCGGATCAACTGCCTCAGAAGAAGCATGCGACCTACTCTGAGCAAAAGCAGTGTAGCCAATCGACTGGGGAACCCCTTCAGGAAAACTAATGCCAAGTGCTGACATAAGATGATATATAAGACAGGCACATGAAAGTCCTACCCGAGTCTCTGTGACACGAAAGGCACATAAGATTTGCTGACGAGGTAGATCAATATAGTCGTCCTGCAAAATGGAGTACAAAAATCAAGCCCTCTCCATAGGTAATGAAGAGGTACATGACACTGGCCACAGATTTATGCACACAATACGCAACAAAATCTGCCTGTTAGTGGGGACAGAAACAGTGCGCATTGCACCTGGACTACTCTCCAATGCTGTGTTAAACACCGTGAAACGGACTAGAGCTATTGGGTTTAGGATTAACAACATTCCGAGCATTGTTAGTGGTTGGGATGAATGTGGTCTTGGATGAACTAGTAGTAGTATTACCATTTTGAACATAACCTAAACCATGCCTATTTCCAACAGGCTTGTTCATCCTCAACAGATTATCAAGTTTCTGCAAACCACTTATGAATGATTGGAGTTGAGTATTATATTTTTCAAGATCACTTGTTAAGGATTTAATTGTGGCTTCCAAGTTTTCGTTTTTATCTAACCAGCCTTTTGATAGAGTCTTGAAGGTCACCTATGATTTTTTTTTCTCTTTTTCAACACTTTTAACCTTATCAATCTCCTTATCAGATTCAATCATAACTATTGATGTGAATGCCATGAAATTTTGTTCATCCTCACCACCAAATATACCACTCTGAGCAATCAAATCTGATTCATTATCACTCAAGGTCATTGCTAAAGCTTTACGTTTTTCGTTATTTGAGCTCCTTTTCAAGTTAGGACATTCTTCATATAGTGACAGTTACCCTAACACTCATGGCATCTAACAGATTGAGTTTTCTTAATAGGAGTCCTATAGTTATTTTTCTCACGTCTATCTTTCGAGAATCTATTAGGGCTTTCATTTTTACACTCTTGAGGCTTTCTCTTATTCTTAACCACCTTCTAAAATTTTTAACGAAATAAGCTATTTCGTCGTCCCTAAGCGTCTCAGCATCAGTAGCCTTACTCTCTTCTTCTCTAATCGTATTCATGGCTATGGATTTAACCTTTTTAGGTTGAGAAACGGTGAGTTCATAGGTTTGCAGGGATCTTACGAGTTCTTCAATTTTAACTGCATCTAAGTCTTTCATTTCTTCAATCGCGGTGACTTTAGGTATAAACCTTTTAGGTAGGGATTTAAGGATTTTTCTAACTATCTTTTACTCCGAAATCTTCTCACCCAGATTAAAACTCGAATTAACTATGTCATTCAGCTTCGAATAGAATTCATCGAACGATTCATGATCCTTCATTCTAATTTCTTCAAACCTAGAGGTTAACATCTACAGTTTAGAATTTTTAACAATTTTAGTTCCCTTGAGTGTTGTTTCTATGATGTTCCAAACTTCTTTAGCAGTCTCACAAATCGAAACTCTCCTAAACTCTTTTGCAGACACAGTTATGAACATGGCATGAATGCCCTTACTGTTCCAGTTACACTCAACTAAGTCATCTTTAGTCCATAATGAAATA